TCCTCACTGGGTGCCCCATACTTTCGACCTTGTGCCACATCTAAGCCGGGCTTAGAAAATCATTTCTTTTGTTTTTCATATAATGTCGAAGCCACTCATCAGCGGAAGTAACATAACTTCGTACAAATGATTTACGAGGTTTGATTTGAATATTTTTTTAGGTAAGCTTTCTCCTGTCTCGTATAACATTGATTATTCCCAATACGAATATTTATTATTAGTTGATTACCATCAAACTTTTCTGGAATATCCGACCGTTCAACAGCACAAAAATTCGTAAACCACCTTTGACATGTTCGATAATTCACAGTACCTTCTTCATAATATGTCCAAATTATTTTTTCGTGCGCTTGAATCGATTTTTTACCATTCTTAAAATTTAAAAAAATGCGCTATTTACCGAGAATCAAGTAAAAAAAAAAATCGGTTAGTTTGGTCAACTAGTTAAATAACCATCCTTCAAACAGAGAACCGTTGTCATAGTTCTTTTAACACACTAAAATTTCTGTATAAACAACATTTTCAGCAAGACATCTATTTTCTTAACTTCTTTTTGTCATTATACTAAGCTCGTTTGAAATTCCTACGTTGAACATAAGTAAATACGGCTGACCATGAGAGAAACATTTCAACATTTTTTTAATGCTTAGTAGAATAATAAATGAATTCAGTAAGCTTACTCTCTTTTCTCTTGTTTAAATAATTTCGTACAGTTTAAAAAAAAAAAAACTCAAATGAAACAGATTACTTTGGCTTATTTAGATAATTCCATAATTTTTTTCGGCTCCGTTCGACTAATTTATAGTAATGGGAAATAGCAGACGACAATAATTATTATGAACGCTGTAGATTTTCAAGCTTACGACTGACTTTTCATAAGGCAGATATAAATTCTTTCTAGAAAAAACCGATTAATTAAAAAAATATGGACAGATAGACTTTATATATAGTAATATTTGAAATCCGAATTAAAAATAAATAACACACATGAAATATTCATTAAAAAATACTTTTAGAATTTTTTAAACAAATATTACCGCCATTTTTAGAAATATATAGAAAAGGTTAGAAAGCATTCACACATGTTTATAATGTAAGATATTTTTTCTACCGATGTAAAATGGAGGACACACAGACAAAATTTAGCCTGATACGATTTTAGAAAATTTTTTTTTGAATTATATGCCAAACTAAACGCCATTATCAAGGATGATTTTTATATTCTTTTTTATTTTTAAATCAATGTGTAGAAAAGAACATTCTTCTAGATACATACGTAAAAAATCCATATGAATAAAAATAAAAATCACTAATGGCTAAAAGGATAGTTGAAAATGCTCAGATGTGCAGAACATATGGACAAGTTTTACACACTTCATGTCCAGGACTAAAAACACTTATACGAACACAAGAAAAATTAAATAAAAAAATTATTGCAGTACTTTGTCATCTTTAATGGATCTTATATATATATATATATATATATATATATATATATATATATATATAAAAATAACATTTTATGTTTATACATTGTTTTTTTCTAGATAGAAATATTTAAGCAAATGCTCTGTTCTATAATAAATAGTATTAATAACATTTACCGGCCTGAATGTCCGAGAAATTTTCAGGCCGGTAAATGTTATTAATGAATTTGCTTAAATATTTGTATCTATAAAAACAATGTATAAACATAAAAGTGTCTTAAAAATAATTGTCAGATTTTGTCCATTTCATATATATATATATATATATATATATATATATATATATATATATATATATATATATATATAGCCTATAAATTTCAATAGTCGGAAGCTCGTAACTGAGTGAAAGGCGCCACAAAATTTTAATTGTCTATTTTCCATTTACAGATATAATATATGCACACATATATACATATAATAAATTGAACTGACAAAACAGGAAGATTTATTTTTTCAACGCGTTTCGATTCATCAGAAATTTTATCAGAGGTGAAATGTGGAGATTTATTTAAATAAAAAAATTTAAATAAAAAATTACAAATATTGTACACACTCGAAAAGTATGATTGAAAAAATTCGAAAAACTTTCAAATCGATGGTATATTGTATAATATTGTATAATATTGCATAATATTGAAAACATGACAATTTTCTTAAGGATACTTTTATTTTGTGTTTATAGATACGTTTTTTTTTCTTAGTCAATCTCTGCATTTTGAAGTTAATGAAAGAACGAAATAAGTTGCAAAATTAAGTTTTCCTATTTTGTCATTTCAATTTATCTTATTTTTTGTGTTATATGCATTTATCCTTGTGTGCGTGCATGCACACACACACAAACCCACACACACACACACACACACACATATATATATATATATATATATATATATATACATCTAATTGTAAAAGACGTTTACAGATAATTGAAGCATTTATATTTTTAATTTATACATATATATATATATATATATATATATATATATATATATATATATATATATATATATTTTACTAAAAGACTTTTCGGTCTAAAAGTTAAATATATAGATGAAATCAATTACAACCGAAATGAATATTTAAGGTTTTCGCCGTGATTATTATCATTATTCTCTGTAGTCTCCATTGAGCTCTCCATGAATTAATATCCTCCTGGAATTATCCCTATCGGACACAAATTGTTATATATATATATATATATATATATATATATATATATATATATATATATATATATATATATATATATATATATATATTCATGAGAACGAAAGTAATATATAAATTCCAACGGTCATAGAATTAATCCAAAAGAGGGCTCGATACCGATAGTAGAGCGATAATTATTTATTTATTATAATTTTATCATATAGAAAACAATTCCAACTGCACTTCGACGGGTAAGAATCGAAAATGGTTATGGTTTTGTCTATATAAAATTATAATAAATAAATTATATATATATATATATATATATATATATATATATATATATATATATAAATACGTCTGATTAAACAAAAACAAACGTTTGGTTACTTTGATTTTCTATTATATTTTTACAATTTTCAAATAAGGTGTTGTGTATTGTGCTCAAAGATGTGGATAAACTGTCCGAAGTTCACATTCTGTTACTTTTATTTAATTACTTTTACTTTCGACTATCGCGGTTATTAAGAACCGAAGTAGTGTCTGTGTGGGAGTTATAATTCCTTTGTCTACATCAGACATCACATTGGTCCTTGATAATATATGTATCCTTTATAATATATATATATATATATATATATATATATATATATATATATATAACATTTAATTGCCAAGTTACTTGGCGACTTCCTTCTCTCGACATTTTTCTCGCAGTTATTTGTATATTTATAAGTCTGCCATTCTCCCATACACGAAATATTGCTGACACATTATATATTTAAAAATTCTTGGTAAAATCCAAAGAAGAATCTGTAATGTTATTGGTCCTGACCTGGCATCTCGCCTTCAGTCACTTTCTAACCGCCATAACGTAGCTTTACTGTGCCTTTTCTCTAAATATATTCATGGTAATCGTCCTGATTAATTTTCCTCTACGGTACCTAGAATTTATGAATCTAAGGGCAGTATTAGATTGGCGGTAAGGTTTCCTCATCTTACAGTTGAAATAGCAAGATTTAACCGTAAGTTCTATGCTAACCGTTTCTTCTCTCGCACTTCTCACTTGTGGAACTTTTTTTCTGGCTTCTTGCTTTCCGGTCAAGTTTAAAAAAATATAAATGCAATGTCAATCGTTATCTTCTTGATTCCTTTTATAGTTCTCTCTCCTTAAATTTATTTCCGCATATTCTCTCACTCTGAGTAATCCCTTGCATCTTAGTGACTTTATTGCCTTGCTTGATTAAAAAAAGAAAATGTTATTCGTTTTTATCAATTCGTGCCTTCAATTCCCTGAACTTTTGTATAGCACCGCGCGTACACACACACACACACACACACATATATATATATATATCGCCCTGACGATCCGTTTAGGTTAAATCTAGGTAGGTTCGCCTGGCTCCTTAAGATATATATATATATATATATATATATATATATATATATATGCAGACTAGAATGTGCTGAATGTTTTGACAAATATGTGAATAAACGAAGACGCGCCAGCGACCAATCCTGGAATTCAATGCGCATGCCTATCCCAGAATTCAAAGTATCTTCTACAGGTGAGGTAGTACACGTCAGTCACATGCCATCCAGGCAAGAGAGAGAAGAAAATAATAATAATTACATAGACTCACTGTTCTATATTGAGGATGGCATTTTCCGAATTTGCAAGCTTCCACACAAGCCGTCATTTGATTGGTTAATTGTAGATGAGTTGGGCGGGGCTTTCATACGCACACACCTACAAGCACGTCAATGCGCTCACCTAATACACGAAATATTTTAGCTACGTAAAAACAAACATTACTTCATATTCGTATATGAAGAACTGCATACACCAAGTGAAACTATTTACACTATTTACATTGTTCGGGCTGTTGTTTTCATATTCTCGAGGTTTCGGTCGTTGTATGCTCCGAACTTCTTCAGATGATTGGAACCGTTTATTTCGTCCATTGGGTTCTAGTTCCACGCCACTTCTGGATATCTCAGTTTCAGTTATTTCCCTTGAGTTCAGTCTGAAGTCGGGCGACCGGCTGAACTCTCTGCCTTCGGGCGGGGAGGAACCCAAACGAGGCTACGGATTCTCTTTTCGGGGAGGTCAAAGGGCATATTTTTGGCCGATCGGAGATCCCACGTTAAACCGGCCTTGTGCCACATGATGCCCTCGTGTCGGGGGGGGGGTGACTAAATACTGTTATTTCCCTTTAGTAACTCAACTCTCAAAGTTTTTTGTTCACCTCTGTGGCCAGGTATTGAACTCACAACTCTTTGGGTCAGGTCACTGAATTTCTTCAACCAACGCTTTTACCCACTAGGCCATGTGAAGCACAGTTTCAGCTTCACATTATTTTAAAACATCAGTTGCCGTACGATCACCGAAGTTAAGCGACGTCGAACCTGGTCAGTACCTAAATGGGTAACCGCTTGGGAATACCGGGTGCTGTAAGCTTGGATGTGCGTGTGTTGTAATAAATAATGATTCGAAAATGTTAATCAGTGAGTCGAGTTAAGCAACACAGAGACTGTTCAGTACCTAGATGGGTGACTGTTTGGGAATACCAGGTGCTGTAAGCTTGGATATGCGGGTGGTGTAATGGATAATGACCCGGAATTATTAATCGGAGAGCCGAGTTTCAATTCCTGTCAGGTTCATTATATTCATCACTCCCCCCCTCCACACTACCAGCTTTGGGTTAATTAGTAAGACCTTTATATCTAAACCATTATTAACTCAAACAAAAATTAATCCAATCAAACATATTTTCTGTCTTCAAATAACTTGCGAAGGTTTGATAATCGTAGAAAACGAATCACTGAAAAGACAGTTTACAACGTTTTGACTGCGTACGCATTATGATTATCTTCAGCCAAAATTAAAATGGCTCTTTCCACACTTTCATGTATTTGATTTCGAACCTTTCGCTAACCATAATTTTTCATAAATTAACATAATGCTATATCTTCATTCTATTGAATGAAGATAACACAATCATGAAATATAATGTCGCCTGGAGTAGATATATAAAAGTGGACATGGAAGTCAATACCCAGGGGTGACTGTCTGTTTCATGCTAAACGTAATCGTCAGATTCAGACAGTTACCTCTGGGTCTTGACTTCAATGTCTACTTTTATATTTACATACTCTTTATCTCTGATATTGAGCACTTTAACTCATAAATATAGAATACCTTAAAACTATATTTTAATATATATATATATATATATATATATATATATATATATATTATAAATTGATTTATTTAAAATAACCATATTATAAATAAATCAATTTATAATATTAATGCTCTGTAAATTTACATTGAGCACTATTTTGTAAAAATAAAAATATCTATAAGAACACCGGATTATATATCTTACTGTTCTTTCTTTTATATATATATATATATATATATATATATATATATATATATATATATTTATATATATATATATATATATACTATCGACTCTCCCGTCGAATTCCACGTATGAGGGTCAAGTAGATCAATTCCCAGGAAACCGACAGCCCGACAACACCACATGAGATTTGATTATAGTGGTGAAAGTTTCGTGCAGGACCATACACATTTTTTGCAGGGCCGAATACAGAGACTTGATGCACTACGTGCCACAAGGTCCTCAAACGACCGTCCGCAGGTTTTGAATTCAGAGTTATAGACCAGTTGCCAGCCAAGGCAATAGAACCCACTCTGTCCTGCTATTTACCAATAGCTGGAGAAAGAAGAGTATTCACACCTTTCCCAAGGGTATTAGCACGTGAGATATATATATAGATATATATATATATATAAATATGTTTAGTGGTACAAAACTTTATAACTGCCATAAACAGACAAAAATGAATTTTATTATTACCACTCATGATGATGATAAAAAGTAAAAATGAAAAACGAGCTAGCTAACCGGTTTCGAACCTCATACGACAGAGCTAATTCGAGGTTAAGAAAGTAAAGTGAAAAAAAAAAAAGGAAAAATGGACAAAATGTATTGGGAATAAAAAAATAAAAAAATAAAATAAAATTTACATTGTTTTTGAATAATTTAATTTAATTTTTGTCTGTTTATAACGATATATATATATATATATATATATATATATATATATATATATATAGAATAATAAAATTTAATTTAAATAAAATAAAATTTACATTGTTTTAAATAATTTAATTTTTGTTTATTTATGGCAGTGATATATATATATATATATATATATATATATATATATATATATATATATATATATATAGGGTGCGATGGGTAAATTGTCACCATTTTATATTTTTTAATTTCGTGCATGAGAACTAATACGATTCGTTCCGCTAAGCCCCGCAAATTTTTGAAAGACATCGCTGAAGATTTGGAAGTTTTTTTATTTTGCCTGAAGATCTTATCCGTTGCATCCGAAGTCCGTTGATAGTGTGGTCCGAAAATGAGAGGTTTGTTTGTCTCTCTCTCTCTGTATATATATATATATATATATATATATATATATACATATATATATATATATATATATATATATATATATATATATATATATATACATACACATATACATACATACATACATATATATATATATATATATATATATATATATATATATATATATATATACACACTACTACTACTACTACTCAATCGTTACTTTTTAATGGAAACCCATATCTGAGTTAGGCGCTCCGTTTTTTAACAGTATTTATTTGGTCTACTGGTATGCGTAATCGAGAACAATTTAAAAAAAATAATATATGACCAATGGCAGGATTCGAACCAGCGTACCCCTCTGCAAGAAAGACCACCGACTGATCAGGCGTGCTTTTGCCACTCAGCCACGAAGTGCCTCACGGTAAAGCAAGCTTCTATTTGCCTTTAAAGCACGCACATTCGCTCAAAACGCATATCTGCTCAGTCCGTATCGAAGACATAAACAAAGCAACTTCTAAAGAGTTAATGGATTTTATTTTTTAATCCGACATACTTTTATTAACACACACACACATACAATCTGTTTTCTTTTTGAATTTGTAGGTCTGATGAATTGGATCGTATTTATGATTGCAATGGAATAAATTATGACCATGGAATATTAGTGTTTAAGCCTTTTATTATATATATATATATATATATATATATATATATATATATATATATATATATATATATATATATATATATATATATATATATATATATATATATATATATATATATATATATATATATATATATATATATATATATATATATATATATATATATATATATATATATATATATATATATATATATATATATATATATATAATATAAAAATATAAAAGAAAAGAACAGCAAGATATATGATCCGGTGTTCTTATAGATATTTTTATTTTTACAAAATAGTGCTCAATGTAAATTTACAGAGCATTAATATTATAAATTAATTGATTTAAAATATGTTTTTTTTCGCTACACAAATGGAACTAATGTCTTTAATTTAATCACAAAATTAAATTCAGGGGCTTTTTAGCTTCCATTTTTGAAACATGGTTAGAACTGTGTAGCGAAAAAAACATATTTTAAATCAATTAATTTATAATATATATATATATATATATATATATATATATATATATATATATATATATATATATATATATATATATATATATATGCATAGTTAGATAAAATAAATGAAATGTGTACAAATTCAAACAGACAAAAAAAGAAAGAAAGAAAGAAAGACTAAAACGCTTTGTATATATACATTTACACAAATAACACTATCAACAATGGTATTTTGTAAAAAAAAAAAAAGAAAAAAGAAAAGAAAAAAGAAAGCAAGAAAGAAAAGAGACTCGGCCAGATTATTTCCGGCAGATAATGTTTTTTAAGTCTAGCATTCTTTGTAATTAGAGTGTTCGATATCAGCAGATGGAATGTTAATAGTAATAAATAAAATTATCTTGACTCCGTTCTTAGCTTTGCGGGAATTATATCCACAATTTCTGCTGAAACGCAGAGACGAAACAAGGGAACATTTAATTTTATTATTATATTTAATTTTCTTTATTCTTAATTAAATAGATAGATACATAGATTCGAGCAGATATAGATAGATAGATAGATAGATAGATAGATGAATAGATAGATGAATAGATAATGAACAGAATGATATATATGTATATATAGATAATGAACAGAATGATATATATAGAGATGATAGATAAAATGAATAATATATATATATATATATATATATATATATATATATATATATATATATATATATATATATATATGTATATAAAGAGAATGAATAGATAGATAGATAGATAGATAGATAGATAGATAGATAGATAGATATGAATGGAAGAGATTACGTATTTAAAAGCGAAAAAAAAATTGTGCTATATATCTTTTGAAAAAATGTAACAACAATAGTTATTGGACGAATAAAAGTTCAAAAGACTTTGCCACAGGTACTCGCCAGATGGGAAGATAATAAACCTATATAGAGTAGAGACAATGTAAGGGAACATTTAACTTTTTTTTATTATATTTAATTTCACCTATTATTATAAGCTTCAATTGCTAATAACCCCTAACGAGTGGATGGAGTGATTCCCAGAGGGTTTGTCTATGAAACTCTGAAGTCGGGATGCTGAAGGTAACATCAATCAGCTAAGGGACAAACCTTTTACTTATGTTAATTATATATATATATGTGTGTGTGTGTGTGTGTGTGTGTTTTTGTGTTTAGTTAGATTATCTTAATTCAAACATATTTCATTGAATAATACAGATATAAACTTATTTTTATACACCAATATTCTACAACACGAAAATGGTCACTCGTCTAGATCCTTTCATACTAACGCGAGTGTTAGTACGAATGTCCCCTAGGGCTCCATCCTTGGTCCCACTCCATTTTTAATTTTCATTAATGACCTTCCTGGTGACATCAGATCTCAACTTGGTATCGATGCTGACGACACAACGATTTACTCCTTCCTCGATAGTAAGATCAAATTGGTGGCTAATGTTAAAAACAACCAACATTCTGTTGTTAACTGGGGCAAAGAATGGCTTGTTAATTTTAATGCCTCCAAAAGTAAACTGCTGTCTATTAATCATCTGAGCTTTTTGCCTTCAATCAGCATGTCTGATGCTAACCTCCAGGACATTGACTCGTTACACCTTCTTGGGCTAATATTCTTGGCTGACACAAACTGGAAAGACTATATTGAATCCATTGCTAGACCAGCTGCTAAGAAAGTCGGTTCACTGTGCCGTGCAAGACAATTTTTCACTCCAGAATCTTTCTTGCATATCTATAAGTCTACCATTCGTCCATGCTTAGAATATTGCTGCCACATATGGTCCGGTGCCCCTGCTATTCACCTTGAGCTCCTTGATAAGATCCAAAAAATAATCAA